TCACGAGTACATGCATATGTGTCACAAGAATTACAATTGATGCCTACTACATGTACATGTCAAGAACATGTTACAGACTGTTACAGATCTTCAGATGTCTTTGAATATCTTGTGGTCAAGCAATACATTGTGAATGAAAGCACAACTTGAGTTGTGTATATAGTTATAAACATATTAAAGTCCTATCTGAAGTACTGGTTCTGTAAATGATTTCTGTGACCATCAGAATACACCATGTACACTGGACACTTGCTGGAATAGGACCTACTTGTCATCAACATGGTATTGCAGAACATACATCTTGGGACTCTCTCAGTGCTCACGCATGCGTGAAGGTGAGAAGTCGCAGGTTTCAGCTCTCCTACAAAATTGTAATTATTGTCGAAAAGATGGCTCACTAATACAACTCTGCATCCAAATCTGCATTTAGACCACTATGGGTATAACGCTCGATGTTTGGCGAGCAAGGATCGGGTGTTTCATCCCTCCCCGTGGACATAGAAACATCGACAAGGTTGAACGCTACACAGGTGAGACAAGATTACACCAGGTATGAGCTTCGCATATCGACTTCTGAGTGTGACTATTGTCTGCAGTCTAACCATGGGTTTGGGAACGATATGTGGTAAATATCACAGCATATTTGCAAGCTACTTTGTTGACTTAACATTTGATCATCATAATATTATTGGTGATTTGAAAAAGGTATCACCCCACACCTTTGGTGACGTCACGTCAAACACATACTGCATGATGTTGACCCATAAACGAAATGTATGCGATCCAGGTGAGATGCACGAGCTACCCAAGCGTGTTATGACTCTTATACTATTGTGTGCAAATGACGTTGAGACAAACCCCGGGCCTGTTACCCTACAAGATCTTAACAACATAAAAGAAGCAATCTTTACCGAACTGAGAAACGTCAAATCCGACCTAGGTAACGACATTTCTAATCTAAGAACAGAAGTGAAAAGTATCGGAACTAAGTGTGACAATCTAGAAAAATCCACGTAATGCAATCTGACGTCGATGCGGTTGCTGAGACAGTGGATATCATAAATGACAGACTTTCACAAATTGATGTTGAACTTGATAAACTCGAGTCGTTTAGCCGAAGAGACAATATCATTATCTGAAGAAGATGAAGGCGAAAAATCGATAGCCTGTAAAGAAAAAGCGATCGCCGTACTTAATGATAACGCAACATTCAAAACTTGGCAACCTACTGACGTTGCACGCGCCCATCGCCTCGGTCTGAAGAAGCCTGGTAGTGAAAGACCACGGCCAATAATTGCAAAACTGGTACTCTCCGACGACAAGGTACGAACATTGAAAGCCAGAGCGACATTTAAATCGAATGGACTTGGAATTGGAAGCGATTTAACCACGCGTCAACGCGAACATTTGCAAGCCCTAAAAGGAACGGGAAATTTCGGCTTCTTCAAAAATGGCAAGCTTGTTACGATGCCTCGTACGTCGGCTGATCAACGTGGATCTACAAAACAAAACTCAGAAGTCGCGCCCTGGGAAATAGCACAATGGCCATGGCCCGGATCATCTCCCACAAGGAACCTCTGATGTGCACACCGGTGACACTCGCGCTCACACTGTTACTGATGTCAACAGAGACGCGTTCTCCTTTTTATGTTGGAATATTGGTGGTCTTCTCAGCAAAATAAATGATGTTGACTTTTTAATTTACATCAGTAAATTTGATATTGTGTGCCTTGTTGAGACATTTGTTGTAAATATTCCAGTAAAACATTGGCTACATGGGTATGATACTTTTTACTGTCCTGCAGTTAAGTTATCCAACTATATATGGACGTTTATCAGGTGGTATTTGTCTGTGTGTAGGTCAATCACTGAGTAGTTTCTGTAATGTTATACAAGCAGATAGAGACAACATAATTGGTCCCTCGTTATCTAAAGATTTATTTAGAATTGACAAAAATGTGAATTTGTTATGTACCTATATCCCTCCATTGGGGTCTCCTTATTATAATCATGTAAACACCAATGGTAACATTGTAAAAGTAGAAGAATTCTTAATAGATAATGATGAAATGTTTTCAAATTCATATAATTTAATCTGTGGAGATATGAACGCGAGAACAGGTGAGAGAAATAACCCTGATAGTAGCAATAATGATGATAGCTTCAATCATACCTCCCCTTTCCCTGAGGAGGAGGATGACCCTGTTGAGGATCGTACTTCACAGGATACAGTTGTAAATAGATTTGGTCAAATGTTGTTGGATTTATGCTATGTTTTTAAACTTTACATGGACGTGTATATGGTGATACTAATGGGGAATTTACTTATTGTAGCCAACATGGCTCTAGTGTGAACGATTATTTTGTAAGTTCACCAGATTGTTTTCAGTTTATCAATATGTTCACTGTCGGTGATCGATCTGATTCTGATCACTTTCCATTAGAATTGATTTGTAAATTTCCAAATATGGGTAGTAGGTGCAACAATGATTCATGTATGGATCCACAAGCATCAGAGAAAATTGTATGGAATGATTATTACTCCAGTTTGTTTCTTGATAACCTGAGATATAATATTACTGAAAACAAAGAAATGGTCTCAAAGAAATTGATAATGCTATTGAAAATGCAATTAGCCATTTTGTCGACATTGTATTAGACTCTGCTAGCTGCATTAAAAAGACAATACGACAAATAATTCACAATTTGCCAATCAAAAACCACTAAGTCTAGAATGTAGACAAGCGAAACGAGAAACACGCAGGGCACTTAGGAGATTTAGAACACAAAGAACAGTCGCTAACAGAATTGTGTACTGTAGACAAAGAAATCATTATAAATTTTGTTGCAGAAAATTTAAACCCATTTCATGTAAGAAATCAGTTGAAAGATTGCATAGAAGCATAAATAGTCAATCTAGCTTTTGGAAACAGACAAGATCATTACAAAACAAACCCAGACAGAAGTATCATATAACGAAAGCAGAAGGGCTTTGCCATTTTAGAGAGGTTTTTGCAAATGACAATGTTTTTTCTCCTCACTTAGATGATGAAAATGAACTCAGTTCTAATCAGTTTACAGATATTGATGCATTCATACTAAATTCTACGATAACTGAACATGAAATTACATCATCAATAAATAAGTTAAAAAAAGGAAATCTGCCGGGCCCGATCAAGTGCTGATAGAAATGCTTAAATGTTACCAATTGGATATAATGCTATTTCTCCATAAAAGTTTCAACAAACTCTTTGAGAATCAAATATTTCCAAGCAGTTGGTCTTTGTCAAGATCACAGATAATCTTGTATATTTTAATTATATGTTAGTACTTCAGATAGATGTATTACGGTATGGTTACATTAGTGTATTAAGCTTAGCGGGTTGTTTTTAGATATTGTCAGGTAATACTATGGGAACAGGTAAGGTTCAGGGAAGCGTGACCGGGTACGGCTGATAGCTGGGGAGTTAATTGGTGTAACAATAGGGAGGTCAGGGGTAGCTTGGGCTTTGGGGTCAGTTTAAATAGCGGGGCAGGGTAATAATTTGTACAGTCAGCCAGAATCAGCATGCTCATGTAAGGCATGGACTAATATTGTGGGAGACTTCTACTCTGGTTGGCGTAAGTTTTTACATTTATTGTTTCATGTAGAATTGTATTTTAGAGGATAGAATTTTGAGTTATGTATTGTTTTCCAATGTAATTATATACACATATTGATGGTTATAGCGTAAAGCCACTGTAACAATAACCACAACATGATCAAAGTATAAACAGTTCAACTCAGTAATATGTAAATCGGAGTATTGGTGCATGGCTGTATGTATTGTGAGGTAGTGACACATATCTCAGTGACTGTAATTGCTTATATTACATTGTAGTGTCCCGGAACTGGCCGGTTAACCTTAGAGTGCGTAGGAGGGAAGAACCTCCGATATTACGTAGGAGGAAGTAACAACCTCCAACCTCACGTAAGGAGAGAAGTTCTCCGACCCTACGTAAGGAGAGAAGTATCTCCGTTTTCCGTGTATACATCGTAGGATGAACACAGCCGTGGCACCCTTAACTCCGTGGGGACAACATCGCCTGGGTGGAAAGATCACCATTCGTTATTACGAGTAAGAATTCTCGTGTGAACTGCTCAATAACACCAGAGATTCAAAAGTTCTGTATAGAACTGTTGTGACAGTGACAGTGGAGTGGCTTTGTATTGTTTGTGGGGTGTTTTTTTTTTGGTAGTGTGTTGTTGTTGTATATATGTACACACACAAAGTTTTATTGTGTATTAGTTGTGTTATTCTTAGAACATCTGTATTAGTGTTAGTATTGGTAGAAGTAAACTATTAGTATTAGGATAGTGTATCGTGATAGTTGTATTGTTAGTAGTAGATAGTTGTATTATTAGTAGTAAACATTTGTACTGTTAGTATTCAGATATTAGTATTAGTAGTAGATGGTAGTATTGTTAGTTGTAGTAGAAGCTAGATTAGTTAGTTGTGTTAGTTAATTTGGTATTAGTTTGAATTTAAATATTGTTATTGGGATTTAAAATTACCTTAAGGGAGGGAATAAATCTTTACAACTTCATTTGTGTTTGTGGTTGATTAAATACGTGACATTTTGGGGGCAGCGGTGGGATATTTAATTATTGTCACTATTGAATTAACTCAGACCATCATTCTATGAGAGATTAGGAGTTACTTCCTTGATGGTTTATCCTTGTAGTATTTTTGTGGCCAGACGTGTGATAGGTCCTCCGGCACCACTTCTACATCCTTGAGTGTACGAGTTAGAATCAAGGTTGGTAGGGTGTATTTCATTTATTGGTCAGATTAGGCTATTGTTTGGAATTTTATATTTTTTGGTTCCATTCTATGCAGGAATGCACTTTTGTATAGTCTAAGTTCCTATTGGTAGCATTCATTATTCACAGTTGTCCAAGACTAAGCCTGCTGGGTTTAACTGTACTTGTACTTCATACTATCACCATACAGCTAGATATGGATCTTGAAAAGATTATCAAATTGGGTCAGAGTTTAGGGTATGAGCAAAATGATTTGAGGGCGTTTGTAAAAGAACAAACTGAGTTAGAGAGAGAGAAAGAGAAGGAAAAGTTGGAAAGAGAGGAAAGAGCAAGGGAGCGGGAAATCAAGAAATTAGAATTGGAGGAGAGAAAGGAGAGAGAAAAGTTAGAATGGGAGAAAGAAAAATTAGAATTGGAGGAGAGAAAGGAGAGAGAAAAGTTAGAATGGGAGAAAGAAAAATTAGAATTGGAGGAGAGAAAAGAGAGAGAAAAGTTAGAATGGGAGAAAGAAAAATTAAGAGTGCAATCAGAGGAGAGAATAGAATTAGCCAAGTTAGAAAAGAGTTATGCTGGAAATTATGAAGGACAGGTAGGAGAGAAACAATTAGGTGCTGCTGCACCTAAGATGCCTAAGATGCCTCCATTTGATGACCGCAATGACAACATTGATGCATATCTTCAACGGTTTGAACGGGTAGCTGTAGCACAAGGTTGGAAGCCTTATCATTGGGCAGCATATCTTTGTACGCTACTAAAAGGTAAGGCTTTGGAAGTATACTCCAGATTAAGTATAGATGACGCAGAAGATTATACTGCTGTTAAGACTGCGTTGCTAAAACGCTATGAAATGACAGAGGATGGATTTCATCAGAAATTTAGGACTGCTCAAACTGATACAGGTGAGATATTCACACAGTTTGTAGTTAGAATTGAGAACTATTTCAACAGATGGATTGAGCTTAGTGGTACTCAAAAGACTTTTGAAGGTGAAAGATTTATTGTTGCGTGAACAGATTTTGAATGTAACTGGAAGGGATCTTAGTATATTCTTGAAAGAGAGAAAACCAAAAGATGCTATGGAAATGGCCAGACTAGCAGAACAATTTATAGAAGCCAGAGGTACAGGTCCTGTTAGATATGGTAAGCAAGGTAGTTTTGGTCAACATGACAAAACAGAGGTCCGAGGTAAACCAGGAGAGAACGAGGCGCCAGGTGGTACAAAACCCAAACCATTTATTCCTATTAAAGAAAGGACATGTTACAACTGTAGTCAAATTGGACATTTGGCAGCACAGTGTAAGAAACCCAAATATAACGTGGCAAGTATCCAAGTAAGTGAATACACCAGTAACGTGTCTGCAGTCCTTCCAGATGGTACAGATGTTGAGGCAAGAATACCGGAAGTTGTAGATGGTGATGCCACAACTTCAGAGAGGGTGAGTGAACCGGATGTAGCCTCAGGAAGCATGTTTACTACAGACCACAACATGCCTATTCACAAGGGTAAGGTAAATGGCAAGCCCGTGGATGTCCTGAGAGACAGTGGCTGTACTGGCGTAATAGTGAGGAGGTCAAAGGTAGAGGATGAATGTTTGTCCTCAGAAACACAATCTTGTAAGTTGGCTGATAGTAGGGTCCTAATACTTTCCGTAGCATGGATTACCGTGGACACACCCTTTTATACAGGAAAGGTAAGAGCTGCATGTATGGACACACCACTCTGTGACCTGATATTAGGCAATATTCCAGGAGTGAGAGAACCAAGGGATCCAGATCAGACGTGGGATAAGGATGATATCCAGATGGTAAGTGCTGTGGAAACCAGAGGCCAAAGAAGAGTAAGACAAGAAGGCATGAAACCACTGAAGGCACTGAAACCTGTGGGGCTGACATTGAGTCGAGGTGAGTTCATTACCCAGCAACAACAGGATTCCAGTTTGGACAAAGTCAGGAAATTAGTGGAGGAAGGGAAAATTAGGGAGACCAGGCATAGTATTTCCTCTTACTATATTGAGAATGATATGCTCTATAGGAAGCATACCTTCACTAAGTTTGACAAGGGTAAGCAAGTTGTACAGGCAGTTGTACCAGTAGGGCTGCGTACCCAAGTGATGAAAGTAAGCCATGAAGCATTGATGGGAGGGCACCTTGGAATCAAAAAGACTTTAGATCGGGTTATGTCTCAGTTTTATTGGCCAGGAATAATGGGTGATGTTAGAAGACATGTGCTGTCCTGTGATATTTGTCAACGCACAACCCCCAAGGGCAAGGTAAGAAGAATACCACTAGGACAAATGCCATTAATCGAAGTACCATTTGAGAGAATAGCCGTTGACCTGATAGGCCCGTTGTATCCTGTCACTGACAAAGGTAATAGGTATCTTTTGACGGTAGTTGACTATGCCACCAGATACCCAGAGGCAGTACCTTTGCCAAGGATTGAAACTGAGTATGTTGCTGAAGCTCTTTTCGAAATATTCAGTAGAGTAGGTATCCCCAAGGAGATCTTGACGGACATGGGAGCCCAGTTCACTTCAGGTGTAATGAAGGAGGTAAGTAGATTATTATCCTTGCATCAGCTAACTACTACCCCATATCATCCTATGTGTAATGGCCTTGTGGAAAAATTCAACGGTACTCTGAAGACAATGTTGAAACGAATGTGTGCAGAACGGCCATATGACTGGGACAGGTATGTAGCTGCTTTGTTATTTGCATACCGAGAAGTACCTCAAGAGAGTTTGGGATTTGCTCCCTTTGAACTACTGTACGGGCGTACAGTGAGAGGGCCAGTGCAGATTCTCAGAGAAATCTGGACTAAAGACATACAAAATCCTGAGGTAAGAACTACTTATGAGTATGTGTTAGATTTGCAAAACCGACTGGAAGACACTATTCATATAGCACAACAAGAACTAAAAAAGAAATCAGGTAAGTACAAAAAGTTCTTTGATGCAAAATCACAAGCACGAAAAATGAAAGTAGGTGACAAAGTGTTGCTTCTGTTACCTACTGATTCCAATAAACTCCTACTCCAGTGGAAAGGACCATATGAAATCTTGGAGGCCTTTGGTATTGGCAATTACAGGATACAGGTAGGTAATAAGACTAAAACCTATCATGCAAACCTACTGAAAAAGTACATTGACCGAGAGGAGATCAAGGACACAACTGTATGTGACGTCAGCATAGCTCACCTGATGTATGCTAGTGCCGGGTTAGTAGATGTCAAAGCGGAAGAGGTAAGTATGTTAGACATAGTTTCACCTGCGCTAGTTTCTAAAGAAACATATGAGGATGTAGACATGTTCAAGGACCTGACAGAAGAACAACAAATTGAGGTGAGAGAGCTCGTAAGTGAATTCAGGGATGTGCTGAGTGATTTACCAGGGAAGGTAGACTGTATGCAGTATAAGATCAAGTTGACATGCAATGAGCCTATAAGATCCAAACCATATCCGCTTCCACATCACATGAGGGACGTTGTCGCCAAAGAGATACAATCAATGTTAGATATGGGGGTGATAGAACCCTCTCACTCACCATATGCTTCCCCCATTGTACTTGTGAAGAAGGCTGATGAGACTTACAGATTTTGTACCGATTTTCGCAAGTTAAATCAGGTAACGGTCTTTGATGCAGAACCAATTCCATTAGCCGATTCCGTATTTGCAAGGCTTCGACACTGTAAGTACCTAACCAAAATCGATGTGAGCAAGGCATATTGGCAGATCCCAATGGAAGAGAGTAGCAAAGAACTGACGGCCTTTATAACCCCTGATGGGTTATACCAATGGAAGGTGATGCCATTCGGAGTTGTCAATGCACCTACAGTATTTTCCCGACTCATGAGGCAAGTATTACATAGCATACCTAACACTGACAATTACATAGACGACATCATAGAAGGAACAGAGGAATGGTCACCTCATGTGGTAAGTCTGAGAGACATATTCACAAGGTTAAGACAATTTCATCTTACAGCCCGACCATCAAAGGTAAAAATAGGATACAAACAGTTGGAGTTTTTGGGGCACAGGGTTGGGAGTGGCCTAATTCAGCCGGAGGGTAAGAATGTGGAGAAAATCCTAAATGTTGAACGACCACAAACTAAGAAACAGGTCAGAGCCTTGCTAGGATTATCGGGGTACTACCGGAAATTCATCCCAAATTATGCAGCCATAGCAGTGCCTCTGACTGATCTTACCAAGAAGGGCAAATCAAACAAGGTAGTATGGACAGAGAGTCAAGAGTTAGCTTTCACGACGTTGAAAACACACATGTCAAGTTTTCCAATTTTGAAACTGCCAGACTTGGAGAAAACATTCCTAGTAAGAAGTGATGCTTCTGACGTCGGAATCGGAGCTGTTCTTTTACAAGAACAGGAAGGTGAGCGGTTTCCAATACTGTATGTGAGTCGAAAGTTGGCAGAACGTGAGAGGGCGTACTCTACCATAGAAAAGGAGTGTTTGGCAATAGTATGGGCAATACAGAAGTTAGAAAGATATCTGTATGGGCGGGAGTTCATTCTGGAAACGGACCATCAGCCCTTAGTATGGATGACCAAAGCCAAGTTGACCAATGGACGAGTGATGAGGTGGGCTCTAACTTTACAACCTTACAGGTTTCTGATCCGTGCAATCAAGGGGATTGAGAATGTGGGAGCTGACCTCTTGAGCCGGTGTTCGCCCTAGTCACAATGTGTGCATAGCAGTATGTAAATAATGCATTTTTCAGCATCAATGTGAAGATATGACAGTCATTACTTTTTGTGTATTATTGTTGTCATTGTGTATATATATATATACATATATATATATATATATATATATATATATATATATATATATGGTTTTGTATTAGATAATGTCTTTAAAAGACGTTAGGACAAAGTTATATGTGATCTTGGTTGTTATATAATTGTGCTCAGGTACAATTAACTTAAGTGGGGAGGTGATGTCAAGATCACAGATAATCTTGTATATTTTAATTATATGTTAGTACTTCAGATAGATGTATTACGGTATGGTTACATTAGTGTATTAAGCTTAGCGGGTTGTTTTTAGATATTGTCAGGTAATACTATGGGAACAGGTTAGGTTCAGGGAAGCGTGACCGGGTACGGCTGATAGCTGGGGAGTTAATTGGTGTAACAATAGGGAGGTCAGGGGTAGCTTGGGCTTTGGGGTCAGTTTAAATAGCGGGGCAGGGTAATAATTTGTACAGTCAGCCAGAATCAGCATGCTCATGTAAGGCATGGACTAATATTGTGGGAGACTTCTACTCTGGTTGGCGTAAGTTTTTACATTTATTGTTTCATGTAGAATTGTATTTTAGAGGATAGAATTTTGAGTTATGTATTGTTTTCCAATGTAATTATATACACATATTGATGGTAATAGCGTAAAGCCACTGTAACAATAACCACAACATGATCAAAGTATAAACAGTTCAACTCAGTAATATGTAAATCGGAGTATTGGTGCATGGCTGTATGTATTGTGAGGTAGTGACACATATCTCAGTGACTGTAATTGCTTATATTACATTGTAGTGTCCCGGAACTGGCCGGTTAACCTTAGAGTGCGTAGGAGGGAAGAACCTCCGATATTACGTAGGAGGAAGTAACAACCTCCAACCTCACGTAAGGAGAGAAGTTCTCCGACCCTACGTAAGGAGAGAAGTATCTCCGTTTTCCGTGTATACATCGTAGGATGAACACAGCCGTGGCATCCATGTAAACAGGCACCCTTAACTCCGTGGGGACAACATCGCCTGGGTGGAAAGATCACCATTCGTTATTACGAGTAAGAATTCTCGTGTGAACTGCTCAATAACACCAGAGATTCAAAAGTTCTGTATAGAACTGTTGTGACAGTGACAGTGGAGTGGCTTTGTATTGTTTGTGGGGTGTTTTTTTTTTGGTTGTGTGTTGTTGTTGTATATATGTACACACACAAAGCTTTATTGTGTATTAGTTGTGTTATTCTTAGAACATCTGTATTAGTGTTAGTATTGGTAGAAGTAGACTATTAGTATTAGGATAGTGTATCGTGATAGTTGTATTGTTAGTAGTAGATAGTTGTATTAGTAGTAGTAAACATTTGTACTGTTAGTATTCAGATATAAGTATTAGTAGTAGATGGTAGTATTGTTAGTTGTAGTAGAAGCTAGATTAGTTAGTTGTGTTAGTTAATTTGGTATTAGTTTGAATTTAAATATTGTTATTGGGATTTAAAATTACCTTAAGGGAGGGAATAAATCTTTACAACTTCATTTGTGTTTGTGGTTGATTAAATACGTGACATTTTTTATGTCAAGATCACAGATAATCTTGTATATTTTAATTATATGTTAGTACTTCAGATAGATGTATTACGGTATGGTTACATTAGTGTATTAAGCTTAGCGGGTTGTTTTTAGATATTGTCAGGTAATACTATGGGAACAGGTTAGGTTCAGGGAAGCGTGACCGGGTACGGCTGATAGCTGGGGAGTTAATTGGTGTAACAATAGGGAGGTCAGGGGTAGCTTGGGCTTTGGGGTCAGTTTAAATAGCGGGGCAGGGTAATAATTTGTACAGTCAGCCAGAATCAGCATGCTCATGTAAGGCATGGACTAATATTGTGGGAGACTTCTACTCTGGTTGGCGTAAGTTTTTACATTTATTGTTTCATGTAGAATTGTATTTTAGAGGATAGAATTTTGAGTTATGTATTGTTTTCCAATGTAATTATATACACATATTGATGGTAATAGCGTAAAGCCACTGTAACAATAACCACAACATGATCAAAGTATAAACAGTTCAACTCAGTAATATGTAAATCGGAGTATTGGTGCATGGCTGTATGTATTGTGAGGTAGTGACACATATATCAGTGACTGTAATTGCTTATATTACATTGTAGTGTCCCGGAACTGGCCGGTTAACCTTAGAGTGCGTAGGAGGGAAGAACCTCCGATATTACGTAGGAGGAAGTAACAACCTCCAACCTCACGTAAGGAGAGAAGGTCTCCGACCCTACGTAAGGAGAGAAGTATCTCCGTTTTCCGTGTATACATCGTAGGATGAACACAGCCGTGGCATCCATGTAAACAGGCACCCTTAACTCCGTGGGGACAACATCGCCTGGGTGGAAAGATCACCATTCGTTATTACGAGTAAGAATTCTCGTGTGAACTGCTCAATAACACCAGAGATTCAAAAGTTCTGTATAGAACTGTTGTCACAGTGACAGTGGAGTGGCTTTGTATTGTTTGTGGGGTGTTTTTTTTTTGGTAGTGTGTTGTTGTTGTATATATGTACACACACAAAGTTTTATTGTGTATTAGTTGTGTTATTCTTAGAACATCTGTATTAGTGTTAGTATTGGTAGAAGTAGACTATTAGTATTAGGATAGTGTATCGTGATAGTTGTATTGTTAGTAGTAGATAGTTGTATTAGTAGTAGTAAACATTTGTACTGTTAGTATTCAGATATTAGTATTAGTAGTAGATGGTAGTATTGTTAGTTGTAGTAGAAGCTAGATTAGTTAGTTGTGTTAGTTAATTTGGTATTAGTTTGAATTTAAATATTGTTATTGGGATTTAAAATTACCTTAAGGGAGGGAATAAATCTTTACAACTTCATTTGTGTTTGTGGTTGATTAAATACGTGACAGTCTTGTTCAGAAATAGCCCCTCTACATAAAAAAGGCGATCCGAGAAACCCTGACAACTGCAGGGGGATCTCATTAATGAGTGTTCTGGGGAAATGTTTTACCTCTGTTTTGAATAACAGGCTTACTAACTGGGCGAATATGAGAGATAAGATACCGGAAGTTCAAGCTGGTTTTAGAAAAAATTATTCAACCATAGATCATATTTTTACATTATATGCTGCAATTCAAAAATGTCTAACACGTCGTAAACACAAGGTTTACGTTGCTTTTATTGATTTTAAAAAGGCATTTGATACAGTTGATCGTTATAAATTATGGTGTTGTTTAAGAAAAGCTGGACTACAAGGGAAGATGTTTAATATACTACAATCAATGTATTCAAATATCAAGTCATGTGTAAGTAGTGATTATGGTGTTACTGATTTTATCGATTGCCCATCTGGTTTACGTCAGGGATGTATATTGAGTCCTCTGTTATTTTCGTTTTTCATTAGCGAATTATATTATGTAATCTCAAGTAACGGTAAGCATGGTATACATGTACAGATGTATCCTGACATCCTTGAACTTCTTATGCTCCTTTTCGCCGATGATGTTATTTTACTATCTGACAGGGTTATTGGTTATTTAGATAAATATACTAAGGAATGGAATTTATCTGTAAATTTAGATAAGACAGAAATTATAGTATTCAGAAAAGGGGGTCCTTTAAACTTTAAGGAAAGATGGTACTTAAATGGACAACACATTAATGTAGTTAATGGTTATAAGTATCTCGGCATAATGTTTAATTCAACACTGAATATGGACAAATGTGTATCTGACTTATCACTGCGAGGGAAACGAGCTTTACTTAATATAATGTCTGTTTCACATAAACTTGGAGTTATTACACCAAAAGTATTTTTCAAATTATTTGATACGCAAATACAGCTAATTCTATTGTATGGATCTGAAGTATGGGGTTACCGAAGATATGAATGTTTAGAAAGAATTCACCTACTTGCATGTAAAAAGTTTCTTCGCGTTGGAATTGCAACACCAAATAATATGATATATGGAGAATGTGGAAGATACCCACTTTACATTAATTCGCAAATAAAGTGTTTAAAATATTGGTTTAATATCATCCGTATGCCAGCACATCGGCTTCCGAAAAAAACTTATAACATGCTCTTTCATTTAGATAGTATCGGTAAGGTTACACGGGTATCGCATATTAGGACACTATTATTCTCACATGGATATGGGTATATATGGCTTAACCAATCTGTTGGTGATCAACATTTATTTTTAAATGATTTTCGTAAAATAGCAATAAATATGTTCTATCAAGGGTGGCAATGCAACTTGGAAAACAGTTCACGTTATGATTTGTACAGAACATTTAAGACTTTATTAGAGCCAGAAAAATATCTATCAATTTTAACAAATAGTCACCTAAGAAATGTATATATTAAATACAGACTTGGCTTGTCAAAACTTATGATTAATTATGGACGGAATATATCACTTGAAAGAATACAAAGAATTTGTCCATTCTGTAACTCTGCTATAGAAGACGAAATGCATTTTACCTTTGAATGTCCTTATTATGCAGAACTAAGTACTAAATATATACCAGAATGTTTCTTATCTAAGACGAGTAGAATAGCGTTTGTTTCTATTTTGTCATCGAAAGATGCCGACGTAATGTTTAAACTGTCTTTATTTGTAAAACATGGGATGGAACTACAAAATAACATGTTGAGTGGAAATTCAGAATTTTAATTACCTTACCCTAGAAAGTCCTCATGATTATCACCGATTGTTAAATGAATGTTATATTTTTATAATTTTTGTTGCATCTCCCAATCTGTAAATTCTCACCCACTATATTTATCTGAACTTGTATATGGGCCGATGGCCTTTTATACAATACACGTCTTTGACTTGACACATAAAGTCCAGTGTGAATGTAGACACTGACACTTATAACAGTGCATGCTGTTGAAAATATTCCAATTCACACTTCCACAGTTATTTGATCAGGCTTTCAATTTGTGAATATTTGCCAAGAATGTTTAATATTTTGTGTGTAATCATGACCTTGGAATAAAATTATTGAATAAATCTAAAGCTTCTTTATTGTTTTTTAAGTGCCAAACAAAAGAAATGTTTTTATAATATTTCTGGTATCAGCCATCATATTACATTGACATTAAATATAATATCATAACAGTTTACGTTGAATGTATGACAATACATTTTCAGTTTATGGGTCAAAATTTTCCTAGAAAATACAACAGATGCTTACCAATGAAAATTAAATTTAACCAATGGCATAGCAGTTATTGCTTTATGATATTAATTCTTTGTTAGAAATATCAATACGTCTTGTTTTTGCATCAGATATATAAGGGTTCAGCTGATAGACTGATACTTTTGAAGATAGCTCCCATGGCGTAAAAAGTCATGCTTGTGAAAAAGTTCGAATCACTGATGCATGTTCAGTTCTGTTTGTTCTTGACCTCAAGTCATGATTTTTGATGGAAATGCGCCAACTCTTTCCATGAGTTTCGGCCACCCATATAAGAATTTATCCACACACCAAATATTTGTATTCTGAAACTGATACTTTTGAGGATAGCTCCCATGGTGTAAACGTCATGCTTGTGAAAAAGTTCGAATCACTGATGCATGTTCAGTTCTGCTTATTCTTGACCTCAAGTCATGATTTTTGATGGAATTGCGCCAATCTTCTTCATGAGGGTCGGCCATATAAGAATGCATGCACACACAAAATATGTGTATTCTGAGACTCATACGTTTAAGGATAGCTCCCATGGCGTAAAAGTCATGCATGTGAAAAAGTTCGAATCACTGAAGCATGTTCAGTTCTGTTTGTTCTTGACCTCAAGTCATGATTTTTGATAGAATTGCGCCAATTTATTTCATAAGTGTCGGCCATCTAAGAATGCATCAACACACCAAATATGTGTATTCTGAGACTCATACGTTTTAGAATAGGTCACATGGTGTAAAAGTCATGCATGTGAAAAAGTTCGAATCACTGATGCATGTTCAGTTGTGTTTGTTCTTGACCTCAAGTCATGATTTTTGATGGAATTGCCCCAGTTTTCTTCATGAGCGTCGTCCAGATAAGAATGCATGTACACATCAAATATTTGTATTCTGAGGCTGATACTTTTGAGGATAGCTACCATGTCGTAAAATTCATCCTGGTGAAAAAGTTCGAATCACTGATGCATATTCAGTTCTGTTTGTTCTTGAACTCAAGTCATGATTGTTGATGGAATTGCGCCAGTTTTCTTCATGAGGGTCGGCCATATAGGAATACATGTACCCACAAAATATTCGTATTCTGAAACTGATACTTTTAAAGGATAGCTCCCATGGTGTAAAAGTCATGTTTGTGAAAAGTTTCGAATCACTGATGCATGTTCAGTTCTGTTTGTTCTTGACCTCAAGTCATGATTTTTGATGGAATTGCGCCAACTCTTTTCATGAGTCTCGTCCATTTAAGAATGCATTTACACACCAAATGTTTGTATTCTGAGGCTGATACTTTTGAGGATAGCTCCCATGGCGTAAAAGTCATGCTTGTGAAAAAGTTCGAATCACTGATGCATGTACAGTTCTGTTTGTTCTTGACCTCAAGTCATGATTTTTATTGGAATTGCGCCACTTTTCTTCATGAGTGTCGGCCATATAAGAATGCATGTACACACCAAATATTTGTATTCTGAGGCTGATACTTTTGAGGATAGCTCCCATGGCGCAAAAAGTCATGCTTGTGAAACAGTTCGAATCACTGATGCATGTTCAGTTCTGCTTGTTCTTGACCTCAAGTCATGATTTTTGATGGAATTGCGCCACTTTAGTTCATGAGTGTCGGCCATATAAGAATGCATCCACACACCAAATATGTGTATTCTGAGACTCATACGTTTGAGGATAGCTACTATTGCGTAAAAGTCATCCTGGTGAAAAAGTTCGAATCACTGATGCATTTTCAGTTCTGTTTTTTCTTGACCTCAAGTCATGATTTTTGATGGAATTGCGCCAATTTATTTCATGAGTGTCGGCCATATCAGAATGCATCAACACACCAAATATGTGTATTCTGAGGCTCATACGTTTGAGGATGGCTCCTCCTATTGCGTAAAAGTCATGCTTGTGAAAAAGTTCGAATCACTGATGCATGTTCAGTTCTGTTTGTTCTTGATCTCAAGTCATGATTTTTGATGGAATTGCACCACTTTTTTTATGAGTGTCGGCCGTATAAGAATGCATCCACACACTAAATATGTGTATTCTGAGGCTCATATGTTTTAGAATAAGTCACATGGTGTAAAAGTCATGCATGTGAAAAAGTTCGAATCACTGAATGCATGTTTAGTTGTGCTTGTTCTTGACCTCAAGTCATTATTTTTGATGGAATTGCGCCAATCGTCTTCATGAGGGTCGGCCATATAAGAATGCATGCACACACAAAATATTCGTGTATTCTGAGGCTCATACGTTTGAGGATAGCTCCCATGGCGTAAAAGTCATGCATGTGAAAAAGTTCGAATCACTGATGCATGTTCAGTTGTGTTTCTTCTTGACCTCAAGTCCTGATTTTTGATGGAATTGCGCCAATTTATTTCATGAGTGTCGGCAATCTAAGAATGCATCAACACACCAAATATGTGTATTCTCAGACTCATACGTTTGAGGATAGCTACTATTGCGTAAAAGTCATGCTTGTCAAAAAGTTCGAATCACTGATGCATGTTCAGTTGTGCTTGTTCTTGACCTCAAGTCATGATTTTTGATGGAATTGCGCCAATCTTCTTTATGAGTGTCGGCCATATAAGAATGCATGCACACACCAAATATGCGTATTCTGAAACTGATACGTTTGAGGAAAGCTCCCATGGCGTAAAAGTCATGCTTGTGAAAAAGTTCGAATCACTGATGCATATTCAGTTCTGTTTGTTCTTGAACTCAAGTCATGATTGTTGATGGAATTGCGCCAGTTTTCTTCATGAGGGTCGGCCATATAGGAATACATGTACCCACAAAATATTCGTATTCTGAAACTGATACTTTTAAAGGATAGCTCCCATGGTGTAAAAGTCATGTTTGTGAAAAGTTTCGAATCACTGATGCATGTTCAGTTCTGTTTGTTCTTGACCTCAAGTCATGATTTTTGATGGAATTGCGCCAACTCTTTTCATGAGTCTCGTCCATTTAAGAATGCATTTACACACCAAATGTTTGTATTCTGAGGCTGATACTTTTGAGGATAGCTCCCATGGCGTAAAAGTCATGCTTGTGAAAAAGTTCGAATCACTGATGCAGGTACAGTTCTGTTTGTTCTTGACCTCAAGTCATGATTTTTGTTGGAATTGCGCCACTTTTCTTCATGAGGGTCGGTCATATCAGAATGCATGTACACACCAAATATTTGTATTCTGAGGCTGATACTTTTGAGGATAGCTCCCATGGCGTAAAAGTCATGCTTGTGAAAAGTTTCGAATCACTGATGCATGTTCAGTTCTGTTTGTTCTTGACCTCAAGTCATGATTTTTGATGGAATTGCGCCAACTCTTTTCATGAGTCTCGTCCATTTAAGAATGCATTTACACACCAAATATGTGTATTCTGAGGCTCATACGTTTGAGGATGGCTCCTCCTATTGCGTAAAAGTCATGCTTGTCAAAAAGTTCGAATCACTGATGCATGTTCAGTTCTGTTTGTTCTTGATCTCAAGTCATGATTTTTGATGGAATTGCACCACTTTTTTATGAGTGTCGGCCATATAAGAATGCATCCACACACTAAATATGTGTATTCTGAGGCTCATATGTTTTAGAATAAGTCACATGGTGTAAAAGTCATACATGTGAAAAAGTTCGAATCACTGA